AGGAGGTACCAAGGCTGACCTCTGAGGTGATGGCTGAGGAGGTGTGTTGGTGCACGTGCTGTGTGAGAGGTGGATGCTAAGGGAGAGTCCTTCCAGTACGGGCCCCGGGCAGGGCTCAGCTGTTTGCCCACTAAAGGGAAACTGGGAGCAGGTGGTGGCAGCAGCTGAGGGAATCCAGGCTAAGGGAGAGGGAGATGGCACAATGTGGGGACACTGTCAGTGTGCTGTAACCGTGCTCTCTGTGACGGTGCAGTGCACTGTAACTTCTGCTTACTTAGGGATGGGTGTTTAGGGTTTGTGAGTGCCAGCATCAGAAACATGGGCAGGGAAAGGAAAAAGGACAGGGATCACCCTCTCTTGCCTCTCCCATGGGAAGGAAGTTGTGCTGAAAGGACAATGGGAGAAGCATTAGGAACATGTGAAGGCAGGAGCAGGACAAGGAGCTGCCGGAGACAAAAGAGAGCGCAGGCTGGATTTTCAGGAGTCTCCACAGGAATGGCAGGTCCTCAGTTCAACATTTGCATCAGGTCCCCTCTCCTAACCAGGAGCAAGTAAGGAATCTTGCTCTGCAATGCAATATCCCAAGAACAATGAGAAAACAAAACCTAGAGAAGGCACTGGTCATGGTTTGTGCAGAGGAATCTACGCTTTATTCACTAAACACTGAGGTGGGGACATTGCAGACAGAAGTGACAGAGGGTTCACATTTTGTGCAGCCCGCAGGTCACTTTGTACCTCATGACAATCTCACTCTTCCTCTTCTATCCTCCTATGAAACTCCCGACTCTTGGCTCGGAGCTTGTTGACCTGGGACTCTGCAATGTCAGCCCGTTCCTCGGCTTCCTCCAGCTCGTGCTGGATCTTGCGGAACTTGGAGAGGTTGACATTGGAGAGCTGCTCCTGGGAGAGAGAAGGAGTTGGTGGTGAGGAGCTCAGGGCAGGGGTGTCGCTGCTGCTGTGCCTTGGCCTAGGGGAGGGCACAAAGCTCCATCCACCACCCACCACAGTTTATAGGTGAGTCTCACAGTGAGGTCCTTGAGAGCTCCTCAGTGCCCCTCTCACAGTCCCTTTCACTGAGTCCAGAAGCCCTTGTCTGGGCTGGACTGTTTGCCACAGTGAAGAAGCCACGCTCAGACAATCGTAAATTCAGGGCCTGCAGGATTCCCTCAGTTCCTCCCTGACTGCTGCACACCCAGAAACAGGCAAAGGGTCCTTGCACAGTTCTAAGAGCTGAACACAAAGTGGCTTGGGAGGACACTTCCAACACCTTCTCTGTCTGCTCTCAAAACTCTGAAACTAGGTTATTTTCAAAGTTTCTTAGTATGCTATACTATCCTTACCATCAATAAGATTCCTTCTTGCAGGCTGCTTTGTTGTCCTAATGCAACAAATGCTGTGTGCATTTGCCCTCTTCTTAGTCTTGTCAGTGACTCACTGATTTTGTTCTCCAAGGCAAGGCTGATTTAGGAGCCTTTCAGAGAACTTGAAGAACTCCATTATTGAGCAGTGGCACCTTCCAACTTTCTTCTATTCATCTCCTCAGTGGCCAAGCTACTGTCTGGGAAAGTAGTTCTTGCCAAGCACTCAGTGATACTTACAGCCTCCTCAGATTGTCTCTTGTAGGATTTCACCTTCATTTGCAGCTTGTCCACCAGATCCTGCAGCCTGAGAATATTCTTCCTGTCTTCCTCAGACTAAAGCAGTTGGCAAACAGGAAAGAGAGTGAGTTGGTTCCCCCACTATGGCAGGTAGCAATGCCCCTTGGCAGTCAGGTGCAAACACTTTTTGC